GTAGAGAAAATAAAAAATTAAATATATACATTTACCTTAAAAAACTTTTGATATCCTTTTAGGAGGTTCTAGAGATTATGCAAATGAAATATGAAGCTATAAGATGAAGAAACGTATTTTTATACTTAAAAAGTGAATCACCTTGCACTCGAAATATTTTAGTACTTTGAATGCAAATAAATACTCTAGATAAATAACATTTTTATTAAAAAGATGCAATTAAAACAATGTCATTTTTTGTTTACAAAATACTTATAAACTTTAACAAAATCATACGAGGTTTTGTGAAGAATGCTCAGAGTTAACATATGTTTTTACATATATATGTCCTTCCCCAGTCAAAGTGATACAAAATGTATCAGCCCGTGCTGAAAGGGTTAAAACCTAATTCTGATGTACCCTGTAGTGATTCAAACCAAGTATAGGAAGTGGATGGTACTATTAAAGTATTCTCTGGTTTGTTGTTCATTTATTTTTCAATTATCATTACTACATAAAAAAAGTATCATAGTTTTATAGAAATGAAGAATCAAGAAATTTGAGACAGAAGTATCTGGATTCACAGATATATTTTCTCCATACATAGAGTGAATACATAAATATAAGTTATAGACACCTTATTAGGTAAATATTCTTCCAGAAAATCTCAGATTTCTCTCGTACCCCTCAGTCACGACTTCTAAAATTCTTCCCTGATTTTTCACTATGTTTGACCTATTGACAAAAAATGCCATAGCAGTATGGCGTCAGTGACAAAACCCTATAGTCAATATACAGTTTCGTTTTTTTTCCTATTTTTCTACTGCATCTCCTCTTTCCTTTTTGTTCATTTTTTTCTCCTTTCCTATGAACTCAGGATTCTTCTTGAATTTTCAAAATCTCACTATTATTCCTCTATCTTTTGGACATTGATTTGGAAGAATATTTACCTCTGTTAAAAATTTTAAGTGGCAAACCTTTGTACAATGTAAATTGTGACATCTAAGTGGCTACCAGTGCTCTGATATGCATGTTAATATTACAGAGTATATTTGATTTATATATGAAATCTACTGTCAGGATATTACTTACAAAATATATTTTGCTATTAAAATGTTTGTAAGTACATGAAACCACCATGGTTACAATGAAATGTGATGATAATGAACTGGTTATTAATATATTATTCCATAAGTTTTTATTTTTTAACAGTAACAAAGTTTAAAGTAGGAGAGATTTACATTAGCTCCATTGATGACTATATTATTATAGTTCTTGAAAGGTGTTATTAATGGACAGCAACAGGAAGTTTTGCTGAAATGTTACCCTTTTTGATTTAGCTGTTATGTTGAGATGGTACGTAAATGAATTTTCTTGTTAAATATATAGGTCATGTTTCATTACAATGCAGTTGACTAGTGTATTTATGAAAAAAGTATAGCCTGAGTGTGGGATTGCTTACTTCTTTTTAAAAAGTCTAGTTGTCTTATAAATATCATCTATGTTAGACATTTTTGTAGATATATTTGATTGAAATCTTTTTGTGAGCTAAAGAAACTGATTCAAATTTTCAGACCACTGCTGTATTTAAGACAGTTCACCTTTTGTACCATCTGATTATTTCTGTATGTGTTTTTTTAATTCATCTTATTCCTGAACAAGTATTTTATAATTTTATTTGTAAATAGACGTTCACTTGTTTAATTTTGGTTAATCTACTGAGTTAAGAAAATTATTTGTTTTACACAACTATACTTTTTATATGTATGGATTTATGATATTTATGTACCTAAGATTCACCATAAGTTTGTTTCTGTAGTTGAATCTGAAACTTTATCTTCGAACTGCATGCAGTAGAATACTTATGTAAATTCATAATTACCATGTGTAGGTTTGTCTTTACTTGAGATGGTACTTGTGATATCCATGGTGCATCTGACTGTTCTTTATGAAAGAGAACCCATTAACTTTGAGATGGTTTACAATGGTAAGACAGTTATTTCTTATTTCATAAATTTCTTGACTGACAAGTATTTATCATAGCTGAAGAAATATATCACCCAAGAACTGTTAATTTCATGAATTATTTGTCTCTCAAAAAGTCATCATAGGTAAAAGATACCCAAGAAATTTTTATTACATAATTAATTAACTGACAAATATTCATCACGGCTAAAGAAATGGTATCTCCTAAGAATTTTTGAACTTTCAGTTAGTGTGACAGAAAAAATTTAATTCTTTTTGTAGGAAAGGTAGTGTAAAATTGGTTTCAGTGTAGTTTACAGATTGACCCTACCATTCGAATGTGCATGAAAATTAACTAATTTCTCACTTTTTGAAATATATCTGTGATATGAATATGAAGTTAATACAATTTTTTTTTGGAAGTGTTTTCAGTTTGGCCTTTTTAAAAATCCATACTTCATAAATGTCTGTTCATTTTTAAGTACCTGGATGTCTTTTAACCCTAATTAGTAAAATGATTTGGTAATGAAATCACATAAAAACTAAAATTGAATCAGAATATATAAAATAAATATAGAATATTCATACTAAAGAAAAAATTACATTTGCTAGCCCAGTAGATACTCATGGGTATCAAAGTGTGTATGTCTTGAACTTTTACAAAGTTAGTTTCAAGACTTAATTAAACAGCTTTATTATCAATGTATATCAATAAGTTTGGCACCAAAACATAGTTTTTATTTCAATTTTCATATTATTTAAGGTTTCATTTTGTAATTTTAAAAGGAAATATTTAAATATATTATTGATCTGCAACTCTCAATCACATGAATTGGTGGTACTGTTGTTTCTCATATATAGATTTTATCCATTCCCATATGAACTTCATATTGGTCAACCAATTAGAAACGTATGCTATAGATACTGACAGATTAGGTTATAAATTTTCAACTTCTTCTTGCTGAGATATCATTATATTTGTTCAACCCACATTGACACCCCCCCCCCTCCATACCATCTGTCTTTCAAGGAATGTCTGTAATGCTCTCTGACATTATTGTTGGATGTGTTTGTAACCACTAGAAAGAGCAAATTGTGTACTACATATATCATATGATCATCTTTTTTGTTTCGGTGGTAAAAATTGATAATTTGCCATCAGAGCTTGATGTGTTTGACCAGAAGATGTTACTCCTATTTATAGGTTAGGTAGAAACCACTTAAATTACAGTATTGCTTGAACAATTTAATCTAGTCAGTGATATATTCTTAATTTTTCAAAATTTATACTTGAAAGCTACATGGATTATTTTTTGGACAACCAACATAATGAGAAAGATAGAAGACGTACAGAAATGGGCACTCGAGTGCAAAGTGGCCAATGTACAGAGAGTTGAATACTAATAGTTCATTGTCAAGGAATTTTAAAACTTTATTATTTTTTAAATCAAATTATTGACTTTAACAAACTAAACTTGCTTAAATTATCTTAATGAAATACAACTTGAATTTCATGTTGTCAACTTTTTCTTCAGTATAATTGAATGAAAGCAGTAAGTAAAAAGTTTATTGTTCTACAAAGTTACACATAGAGAAAATGTCAATGACTTTTGATTTTTTGCAAGGTAGCTTAAGCTGCAAACACATTTCTTCAGAAGAAAGTCCAATAATATAAATAATCATATACATCTGACTTTATACCATTTTATGAAAAATCAAATTTTGTTTCCTAGACACATCCTGTAGAACCTGCCTGTGATTGCATTGTATTGACTACTTTCCTAGAAGTTTGTAAATTATACATTTTGGCCACAAATTAGCCCTAGTCTCACCCCAACATAGCCAGGGGGAAGGACAACTGCTATTGGAGGTCCCTAATGTAATGGTGCCCCTGAAGATAGCTTTCAGATTATTGTGAAACTCTGGTGAATGATCTCTAGTTGTAACAGTAAATGGAATATTGATTTCAGAAAAGAGTTTAAATGTCCAAAATTTAACACTGGTTTATTGAGGATAACTTGAACAATTTTTCATTTTACCGTCTATTTAATTTGTTTCTAAGATTTGTAAAGATGTAAAATCTTTAGGTAGAGGGTAGTATCATGTAACCACTTAAACGTAATAAATATAGTTAGATACCTGAACCATATTTCATTATGTTTATTGTGTTATAACTTTGTGTATATTCTAACTTGTTTGTTTCATGTTAATGAGCAATTCTTTCAGCAAATTGAAGGCATGGAACAGAAAGCAAAATGACACAAGTTTTCCATAATTTGACTATATCTTTAATTAGAATAAATTTGTTTACAGTAAATGAACAACAACACTTGCGCTATCAAGATGCACATCCAGCATCAAAGAATGTATTTCATTTAATCAAGATATAAGAATATAAATATGTGTCCAAAGGGGCAAGGTTTTTAAAATCAGCATGCTGAACTACTGCCAAATTTACAGTAATATCACAATCTTTAAAAAGCACTCAAAAAACCTTGAATTTAGTTCCAGAAATCAAGACCTTGAAAAGCTTAGAACTTAGATATTGTTTATTCCTAAACAAATTTTTAGATTTAAAATTTGTTTTTAAGGTAATGTTTTATGTAATTTGTTTCAACTGATATCAGTCATAAAATATTAAGAAAAATTAATATTTAATGCCAGTCTGTTGATCTAGCTTTGTTGTGTATAGTAAGCCTTGATGTACAGTCGTTTTTTTTGTTGTTGTTGTTTTAGCACAAAGCTAAACAATGGTTTTTCTGCTATATCTGTTCACCATGGAGAATTAAACTCTTGTATCCATAAACCTTCCTCTGACCCACCAGGGCTACTTAGATACATGTTGATTGACATGGCTTTTGTCTGCTCTGATATTTTACCACCAAGTACCAAAATTTAATAGTTTTCTGAGGGAATAGAGTAAGAAAAAGTGATAATAATAGTGCATTAAAAATAAATCTTGTTTCAGACTTGCTGTGTGTATAGCTAATACTATAAAAATATCTAAAATTTAACATTTTTGGTAATAGTTTCAATTATATTTTGGATATAATATTTACATAAAGATGCTTAAATGAATGAACATTATTTTATGATTAATGCTATGACATTTCCAAAAGCCTGGATCACGTAAGTGTACTCTGATGCATCAAACATCCATTTTTACACAGCTCATCAATGATTGGATAGCTTTTAGACTGAAAACTCAAATTTCAAGTCATGTAACTGTTTTATTTCACTGACTGTTCTTGGCATTGTAGAAATAATCATGTTGTGGTCAGCAGTGAACATTAAAATGCCTGGTAATTTTTTTTTATATACAATGGGGAAAGTATGACGTGAAAGTTCATAGTGGATGATAATATATACAAAGGGTAATTGATTCAGAACAAAATTACACAGAGGTACAGTGTTTATGTTTTAACTACTTAAACATGATTTTTTTACTTTTATCCATATACTACTCATAACTAATTACCACTTATTCTTGAAAAACTTCTTAAATCTGTGACTTAAGTTTTTGAGCAAACTTTTTTTAAGATGTTGACTTTGATGAGAGTAAAATGTTCCTGTAGTTTTTATGAATGCCAAACTAACAAGTATCAGATGAATTATACCAGATTACAGCTTCTCAGCATGGTGAAATATTCCTTTCAGTTTATAAGTATTACAAAAGTTTGAAGGGATGAAATAGTTCTTTTAGTTTACAAGTCTCTCGTTAGTTTTATATATTTTCAACCTCCTAGAAGAGGTGAAATATTCCTTTGAGTTTACAAGTATCACATTAGTTTACCAGTTTCCAGCATTATTTGAGGGGTGAATTAGTCCTTTCAGGTTACAAGGTTGGCATCAATACATGTAATTATAAAACCTTTCATGCAATTTACATTTGTGGAACTTCTCACACTGTGAAAATCCACCATTAATACCATGCAGAAATATGATGTTTAAAGAAAATTAATTAAGAAGCATTGTAATTATTCCTCCATGGTAAGAGAACAACTTTATATAAAAAAAATGGGATAGTCATGGGTTTTATAAAGTTTAAAATCAGTCTATTTTATGAGCATTTGGTCTGATTATTTCTTATGTTACTTAATAATTATTCAAGTAATACAGACGACACATTATATGTATGTTTTGTTCTTTAATAAAACCATAGCTAATAAATTTGAATATTGTACAAGTTTAAATTTGTTAATTTTAAAAGGAAATGTTTAAATATATTCTAAATCTCCCCTTCTATGAATATCATGACAGTTGTTCTCTCTAATTTGCCCATTTTCTATTCTCTCATTACACCTCTCTGATATCTTGAGATGAATGTAAATTACTCAGTATAGTATGGATATTACTAAGGCATAGTCTAATTTGTATAGCTGTCAATCATCTTTGTTTACAGAGATATAAACTAGAAAGTTGGATCCACTTGTGATGCTTACTTATCACATCCTCTGCTTTACAAATTGCTGAAGTTTGCTATTACATCATTTATGATCAATAAAAAGACAGAATTTAAATTTATTGAATGATATGTAATGTTACGTTGTTCTCAGCAGAGATTTTTAGCTATTTTTCCTACATATTTAAAATAGGTATTGCTTAATTCAGGTCGAACAGCTGAGGGGACTATTTAAAGGCACTTATGCCTTAGTTAGAAGCTAGTTAAATTATAATACAAATGGGGTATTGTTTGCTTTGTGCATATATTATTTTGTGTTCATATGTCATATTTGGAATAAATGAAAATTATTTAATGTACTAGTGCTATCATTACAAAAATGGTAGGATTGAGTTTCATTGGCTGACCAACAGCAAAAAAAAACAAAAACAGGAGACCAAACATAAGTACTAAATTTCTTATATTTTATGTATATTTTTTTATTATTGACATAAAAGTAACTAAGCTGTAAAAATGAGACTTAATAGTTTAGATGGGGTTAGATTAGGTAAGTAAAAAAAAAAAAATACAATTCTCCATGAGGTATGGTTGTGAGCACTTTTGCATTGCATCATTCAATATGTTAACTTGAGCTATGCATTCACTGAGTGATTTACAGCTTGTATCACAGGATTATTAATTAGATGCTGTTGAAAGGACAATAAAACAAAATTAAGTAAAAATGTATGTAGACTATTACAAGCCTTAAGCTATTTAAGATAACTGTAGTTTAATGTTATAATCTGCAATTATTCTAGGAAAAAAATAAAGGGTAAATAAGATTTGTTTTGTTATTTTTTGTGGTGGTTCGAGATCAGTCAAATCGACTGAGTCAGTATACAGTTAGGATAGAAAAACTAACATAAAATATAAAGTTTTACTGGAAACCAAACATTTGGTATTCATCTAGGAGGTTTTAGAGGTTATGAAAATGTTATTTGAAAACTGTAAAAAAAAGATAAAAGTATTTTTAATCTTAATGCAAAAATCACCCTGCACTTAGACTAGTCATCACTCTGACTACATATATTCACAGGCAAATTTTTAAAAAAAATACTTAATTAAAAAATCAGATTTTTTTGTTTACAAAAGACTTGTAATGTTTGTTAATAGCTTGCCAAATTTCATAAAGATACACTTACCACATTAAAAGATATAATACAGATATTTTCATTATCACTTTGTGGGTACAAGGTTGTGAAAAAAAACTAACTTGTATCAACAGAGTTGAACTATGAACTCATACAACTTAGACTGTGCAATGAGAAATGCGCCTAAAAGTACATACACTTAGAAAAATGGTAAGAAGGAGAGAATGGATAGGTACTACATTTAAATAGTACCTGAGAATACCCATAGCCATAAAGTGAGAAGACTGATCTTTGGAAAGCTTTTGAATTAGAAGAATGTCATAATGGTGCAAGAAACAAAGCGATGGAATAAAGCATCATTTGGAAAAAACACCAGAGTATTTTTTTGAACCATAAACAGTGAAGGGGAAATGTCAAATGAGAACTTCTTATTCTTGTACACGCCAACATTGAATGCTACCAAGTATATTTTTCTAGAAACACAGTAAGAGCAAAGGTTCTAGTGAATTTGTATGTCCTCAGTAACATTAAGACAGAGATAAATAAATGGACTAGTTTGTTGAATTCTCTTATGAATATGGGCACAACAGGCATCTAATGTCTGTCTAGGACACTGATCAAGATGTAGTTTCATACTCCATTGCTGTCCTAAATGGTCTGCTGTTTTGAGTTTCTCTCCTTCTGTGGAGAATACTGAATGCTTCCTTCCTTGGTTATTATTCCTGCCTTTTTTTCCCATTGGAATCCTTCTTCCACTCATGACAATTCCTCCGTGAACCTTATCAGTTAGATTTGCCAACTCATTCAGTTTGCTTCTTCTTTCTTGTCTTTCCTTTCTTATAATTTTTTTGTAGTCTGCTTTGACTATGTTCATCATCTCGCCCTATTACTGGCTGTTCCCTTTTGTCATCAAACACTTTCATTGCATGTTGCTCACATCAGCTGGCTGTCTCCTCCTCCTCTAGATACCAATTGTTGCCCGTTGTCATACTACACACATTGGTACAACTTTGAGTGGGTAAGTTTTCTTTTAATTTATTTCCTTCTTGTACAGTGACCCTATGCTTTATATTGGATCCCACTCTGTGGTGAGTGGTGCCTGTCCAGGTTTATTTCTCAGCTGGGGAACCTCCATTCTACCATCTCCTGTAGGTCATTTCCAAGGAGTCTGGTTTTGAAAATGAGCTGGACCAGCCACCAAATCTGCACTGTACGACCTCTAATGGCCACTGTTGTGATGAGGTGTTCTGCAAGACCTCTAGTTGGTTCACTGTATGGTATATTGTATCATTAATATGTAAGTCCCAGATTGTACTAACTCGTGGACTATCATGGGTAAAGCAGAAAGGGATAGCTACCCATCCCTTGATTGAATAAGTCAGGACCAGCCTGCTTTTAAAAATAGGGTTTTGTGGTTACATGTTGCACTGTCTTCAGTGCTGCATTCCTCCTGACTCTCCATTGCATTAATATCCCACCCCTTCTACAAGTGGAGTCCTAGCTGCTGGGGTAGTGGACCATAGAGGCTTCCTCCTGAGTGTTTTCAATCCCATTCAGTTCAGAGTAGGGCAGTGGTGTTCTGCTGGTTGAACCATCCTCCTACCACAGATCAGAAGAAAAATACCCAACACTGTCTGATCATGGACTGGTGATGATCCACCTAAATGCAGTTCATCCCTCTGGCTGAGGAATCCCCCCTCCCCATCCTACCATCTCCTAAATGTTGATTCCCAGAAGGTCTGGTTTTGCAAAGGGATCTGAACCAGCCAACATTAGTCCTTACACATGTTGTGGTAGGGAGCCCTCATCCTACCATGAACTTAATGGTTAGATAGACTATTCAGATGGGGAATCCTCATCCTACTGGTCCGTTCCCAGAAAATCTGGTTTTGGAAAGGAGCTCAACCAGCCACTAAACTAATACTGTCAGGTTATGGATTTGAATGAACCACCACATTGCCCTCCCCCTCCAACCATCGTTGGATGTTGGGTTTTTGGGTAGCTGGTGTTGGTTGTGGGTCTGCACACATTTCCTGTTAGGATGGCATAATGGAACCCATTTTCCCCTCAGATTACTCATCTTATAGTGAAAACAGTTGGGACTCAACTCATTCAATGGACTGATACATACCCAATACTGCATGGTTTTGGACTGGAGTTGACCCACTGAGCACAGCCTGATGCACCCTAATGACTCTACACCATTTGACATCTCTACTTGTGTATTGGATGTGCTTTTTTTTTCCACCTAATTTAGTGACACATATTTTCATAATGAATGAAGAGTATACCTAGTTCAGACATGATGTGGTCTCCCACAGGTGTGTTCCTTTATTCAGAGATGTCACACCCTGTGGACATTCTTCAGACGCTTTTCAAAATGGGTTCATCTTGGTAATTTCTGCACTGGTCCCTCAACCAGCTTGATGTGGGATTCTAGCTATTATGAGGAAGTGGTAAAGTATCATATTGGAAGTTATAATTTTCTTACACTGAAAATATATTTCTGATAGATACTTCCCACCCTTCCTCCCCACTTCTTGTGCTTCTTTTTTTGCCTCATCTTGAAGTGAAGATTGGGTTCTACAGTGTAGAGGGAGCCAGCTTTCCCAGGAGGGTGTGTAACACTCCTATTGGTGAAAGGTTGTCACATGCTGATTTGCATGCTAGAAGGCAGCTGTACCACGTTAAACACATGTGGTAGGTGGGAGTATCAAGGCTCATGGCGAGCGAAAAATTTGTGAGAGGAGGTAAGTATCTATTGTAAGTATATTTTCATTGTAGGAAAATTATAACTACTAACAAAGCTCAGAATAAGAAAAGTCATCTTTGGAATTTTACGAGATAATAATACTCGTGAAAAGAAAATGGTTACTTAAGAAAAGATTTTACATTTAAGAAAATAAATTGCTAATGATAGTATGATTTTGAAAGACGTTTATCACTTATGTACTTTCTCTACTTTTTAAAGAGTACAAGAAGTTTGCATCTCGTAAGTCATCTCTGCAGTGTATAGAAAAAACCGTTGTATTTAAGGTAGGCTGTTTTAAATATATATATATATATATATTATTTTTTTTTACTATTAATAAAATCATTATTGTATAAAATTCTCGTTAACATTGCCTAATATATATATATATATATATATTGTTTTGCTTTATTCTGTTAAACTAAATAAGGTTTTCTTTTCAATTTTTTGTAACAGCTTTTACAGGCAACATCAAGTAATAACAAACAGATATGTTTAAAATGATGTAAAAGTTTGCATGGTTACATTTATTGTAGTGACAGATGCATGTGCAAATAAGTTTTAACAAATCCTATAAGGCATAACAGCTGTATGTGACTTTTATTTTTAGAATAGATTTGATAAGCTGGATAGTTTTTTTTTTTATAAATCGAACTAATGCATTTAATGTGTTGTAAAAGATGTGTTTGTTCTAGGTTAGACAGACAAAAAAAGGGTTTGTCTGAATGTTTAACAATTTCAAATAACCTGAATTGTCTAGTAGGGACACTAGAGTATTCCTCTAATGCTTCCTCAGGCAATAAATCATCATCGACTACAATTTTGAGCAATTAATTTTTTTTATATTTTTTAGTTGTTCAAAGGAGGGTGATGCAAGAAAATCTTGATAATCAGACATGATCAAATCTTGTTGGCACTGATAAATATAAATTCAATTTTGATTTAAATTTTAATTTAGATTGAAATTTGTCTCTGATTCAAATCTTGGACACGAGCCCCCAATTTTTTATGTTACATATTACAATTTCAAATAGCCTGAAACCATGCTAAATGATACTTCAAACTTAATAGTTAAATTGTACTTTGGATTTAGCAGTTAAATAAAAGCCGATATATCTCCAATTTATGATATTTGCCAACAAGATTGATACTTTGGATTTAGCAGTTAAGTAAAGGCCGATATATCTCCAATTTATGATATTTGCCAACAAGATTGATACACACAGTTTTTTTTTAACACGAATATGTTTTAATACACAAACAATAATATAATTTACAGTAACAGTTATTACAAATAATTATTGCACATAATGATTTATATACAAAAATTTTACAAACTTACAAATGATATAAAGTCTTCTTTTTAGTCTGAAACTTCCTTGATATCTTATTGAGGGTTCATGATGAGTGAGTTAATTATGAGTCGATGTAGGTGTGATTCGCTTAATGGGGAGCTAGCTAGCTCTATCCTTCGTTATTCACCAGCCACACATGCCGAGTTTTCGATGAAGAAGTTATATAATGTTTTCATAAAAATACTAATGTTCAATGAGAATCCACTGAAGTTAAATAATTTGTAATGTTCGAACTTTGTAAATGCTCCTGGTCAAATATCTGAAGTTTTATGATTATTAGCGTTATAACAATCACAGTTATACCTTTCAGTTTATAGCAAACTAACAATAGATACTGTTTTTTGGCACTCGAGAATCTTCTACAACTTTAGAGAATAGGTGGAATTTCCACAATACATATTTAACTGTACAAGTTATGTACACTTGTAAATATAAATTAAACTCAAGCAAACATTGACATTAAAATAAATATATGATAATAAATCTGTCACAATTCTCATTTAAGATAGTGACATTACTGGTTTGTTCAACTTGAGAGATTTACTCGAGAACAATGGCTTGAGCAGCTCATTTCTAATTAGTTAAGTCCTTAAAAATCTTAGAAGTTTTACAAATGACTCTCAAAAGCTTAAAATATATATATTCTTTTTCCAATCATATCAGTATGTTGAACTTATGATGATAATGTTAAAATTTGACCTGATGTAAATAATTAGTGGTTTCATGTATGTTAAGAAATAGTTTCAGAAAGCCACCAAATACAACATTAAGACATCATTGTCAGCATTAAAATCTACAGATACAAGCACTTTACTTCAGAATATTGCAATAATGATATTCTCAGTTTTCTTGTGCAGTTAAATGGTTGTTCTAATTTTCCCTAACATGTTCTTGGAAATATCTTTATATATCTAAAAATTGTTGCCTAAATAGTCCAAATTTATCCTCAAAAATATTTTTGAAAACATATAAGAAGTAAATATTTATTATGAAAGATCAATAAGATTCTCATATATTAATTCCATTTCAAACAATTTTTTGTGATACAATAAATGTATTTAATGTTTATAACAAATAAAGATGTTGGTGTACTTTGGTGACAGGTTTTCTTGTAGGCAGATTTTGTTAAACAAGAC